GTCGGTTTGTCGTGTGATTTCTTACGGAATATTTTAATCCATGCTAACTATGTCGGGCAAAAAAAGAAAGTGGTCGGACGAATATGTAAAACATGGATTTACATGTATCACGGAACGTGACGGGAGTCAGCGTCCCATCTGCATGATTTGCAATGCCAAGTTGAGCAACTCTAGTCTCGCACCTGCAAAACTGAAGGAACACTTCTTGAAGCTGCATGGAGATGGGGAATACAAGAACACAACGCTTGCTGAATTCAAGGTGAAGAGAGCCAGATTCGACGAAAAGGCCACTCTGCCTGCTCTTGGATTCGTACCCATCAACAAACCGATCCTCACAGCATCGTATGAAGTTGCTTATCTGATCGCAAAGCAGGGCAAACCGCAAACCATTGGCGAAACACTCGTAAAACCAGCTGCGTTAAAGATGGCGAATCTGATACTCGGAACAGCGGCTGAAGGTAAATTATCCCAAATTCCTCTTTCAAATGACACCATCAGCGACAGAATAGAGTGCATGAGTAAAGACATCTTGGCTCAAGTAGTCGCGGATCTGATTTCAAGCCCGGCAAAATTCAGCCTTCAACTCGACGAGACCACCGACGTTTCCAATCTAAGCCAGCTTGCCGTTTTTGTGCGCTATGTGAAAGTCGACATGATAAAAGAAGAGTTTTTATTTTGTAAGCCTCTTACAACAACAACTAAGGCAGCTGATGTGAAGAAGCTTGTGGAGGACTTCTTCAGAGACAACAACCTTTCATGGGATATGGTTTCTGCAGTTTGTACGGACGGAGCTCCAGTGATGCTGGGAAGAAAGTCTGGTTTTGGCGCGCTAGTAAAAGCCGACACACCGCACATCATTGTTACACATTGCATTCTGCACAGGCATGCGTTGGCAACAAAAACCTTGCCGCCCAAAATGGCAGAAGTATTAAAAATTGTAGTGGAATGTGTAAACTATGTGCGCAATAGTGCTCTGAGGCACCGCATCTTCAGTGAACTGTGTAAAGAAATGGGCTCTGAATTCGAGGTACTTCTTTACCATTCGAATGTTCGGTGGTTATCCCGGGGACAGGTGCTGAATCGTGTTTTTGCCATGCGTGTGGAATTAGCCCAGTTTTTGCAAGAGCACCAACATTGTCATGCAGATTGCTTCAAAGATTCTGAGTTCATTCTCATTTTAGCATACATGGCTGATATATTCGCAGCTCTCAATCATCTAAATCAGCAGATGCAGGGTGGTGGAGTTAACATAATGGAAGCAGAAGAAAACCTGAAGGCTTTTCAAAAAAAGTTACCGTTATGGAAACGACGAGCAGAGAACAACAACTTCGCAAACTTCCCCCTTCTGGACGACTGTGTAAGTAAGATCGAAGATGTGTGTGGACTTGGAGACATATCTGTACCCATGGAACTGAAGCAAACAATTGCCACACACTTAGATGAGCTTGCGAAGTCTCTCGATGGATACTTCCCAACAAGAGCATCATATCCAGCATGGGTGAGACAGCCGTTCATGTTTGCTATTGAGACAGCAGATGTCAATGATGAATACCTCGACGAAATCATTGAACTTCAGCAGAGCCAGGTTCAACAGCAACTCTTCGGAACAACAACGCTCTCAACGTTTTGGTGTCAACAAATGGAAAAGTATCCAGTTATTGCTAAGAAGGCCCTGGATTTTTTTGTACCATTTGTTACAACATATCTTTGTGAGCAATCGTTTTCGAGGATGCTGGACATAAAAACTAAGAAAAGGAACAGACTTTGCTGTGAAAATGACATGAGACTGGCACTTTCCAAGGTGAAGCCACGCATATCTGAACTGGTCTCTCAAAGGCAACAGCAGAAGTCACACTGAGGTAAGTTGTTTTGAGTTCATGCACTGTGTTGGTTTTGTTATTTAAACAAGGTGATATTAATGCACAATTCATTTCGTAAACCAGTAAAAAAAAATCATATTTTATTTTTTACTAAAGAAGGGTTCGGTGAATGAGCATATGAAACTGGTGGGGTTCGGTGCCTCCAACAAGGTTAAGAACCACTGGACTACACGTAATGTAAACGCATGACACATTGTTTACTCATCCAATCAGAACCTTCCTTTCTGAAGCGTGGCATAGTCTCTGTGGTGTTTATAAATCTGCCAACTTTGATTTGACCAGAAATCAAAACATCCAGATTAATAAAACCAGTCCCACGCCATCTTAGTTCAGCTCTCATCAGTTCTCTGAGTTCTCTACAGTTCACCGCTTGCTAAGCGAAGTGTCGGACCGGCCATCCGGACTTCTTTTTTTTTTAAGCAAAGAACCAACAAGCTGGATAAAATCTGTTGCATTTCACCAACCAAGCAACGGTTCCTTTCAGAATAAAAGCTAAACTCACTGACGCTGTGAACCAACTGTCGCTTTTTACCTGGAGACAATCCAAAGACTAGTCTGACGTACTGCTGACGCTGTTTCATCGGCTCCATTACCGAAGGGGGGGGGGGGGGTCCGAGGACCTGGCATTCTGGATCTGTATCGAGGTCTCATCTCAAGGGTATGTGTAGAGCGACAAATGTGGCATCTCATGTGTTTAAGAAACTCCGATCAAACTCTGATCATAGCTAAAGCAAAACATCACAACATCATTTAGACTTGCTTCTCCGGATACGAGAGTTCTGGTTATAACATCACTCACACCAGACCCATTCATCACTTAGAGTTAGAGTTAGTTTTGTTTAAAATTGTTTAGAAATAAATCTTCTTACAAGTTTTAAAGGTGGCTCTCTCTTCTCTTGTCTCTGACTTAATACAAGTGTTACATAATCCCTGCAATAAAAAGTTCCAATCTTCTGGTTAAAATAACCCAACGGTCCGTGAAATTGATTTCATATTTACTATGGAATCTTACATCTTACGGGTCCTTAATTAGATGTAAATGAACTCTTTTACAATGGACACTAAACCAACAACAGCCTTCCCCCGCTCTCCTCGAGCTCCCTCTCCTGGACACCCCCCTTCCTGGATTCACCCCGGCACTCCACCTACCCTCCCTAACTCCTCAGCTCCCTGTAAGTCTTAACTCTGCACCTAACTAGTTTTGGCTTGCCTCCCTGTACTCACCTGCTCCTCTTCTCTCCCCTCCTCAGACGCTGCGGTTCCGTTACAATCCACTGGGCCTTATCCAGTGCGTCCTCAGTTCCCGATTATTTTAATAAAGAAACTTTATTTTTACCTGTTTGGTGCGCGAGTGGAGATTCTGCATGTCTTGGGTTAAACTCGTCCCCAAAACCATGTCAGTAACCTATTCCAGTAATTACGCTCACACTGACAACACAGCATTTCTAAACGTCCCGCATGTCCCGCCCATCGACATCGACTCAAAAGTAAACAGCATCAACTAAAAATGCTGCGGTGTTTCTGTGATCTCCCTCAGAAATCCACAAATGACCAGCATGACTACAGCCGGCATAGGAGCCGGTCCACGCGTCGGCTGCCCCAGGAAATGGGAACGGCCAGCCACCTGCCTAAGGCCGCTACCATATTTGACCAAATGACACAGCGTTTCCCCCCAGGGAAATAAAGTACAGAAATATGATTTTACTTAGTAATAAAAAGAAGCAGAAACTGCTTGGATGATTTGTTACTGCAGTCAATAACCACAGCTTGCAGGTGGGGCACACCACTTGTTCCCAGAGCTGTGCTTCTTCTTAATTCTCAGTGCAGATAGGGGGAGTGTGCATTACTTGTATGTGTGCATGCATGTAGTTACATGTGTGTGTGTGTGTGAGCCAAAGTTTTAATCATTGTTGGTCATTCACATGTGAGGTTATGACATGAATGTGTATATAGGTTTTTATGGGTTTTACAAATGTGTAATTTGGATGTGTTTTTAGAATTTAGAGATTTTAGTGCCGGCTGCTTCACAATGCTGTCTCGAATTGCCCCTCGGGGACTAATAAAGTTGTCTTGAGTCTTGAGCTTGCCCTCTGTGTCCAAATAATTCCATGATTAACATCTAAACACACACACACACACTAAAGTTCAGAGAGTTGAAATGGCCGAACATCTATAAACGTGAGGTTGAGGCCTTTCCCCGGAAGTAGCTCTGAAGTCACATGACTCAGATGCTCATTCATTATTCTGAATTTTAAGCATTTCATTCTACTTAAACAGGAGTTACAAAAAATGAACCCCCCCCCCCCCCCCCCCGAATTGTCAGGGATGTAAACTAGATCTATTAAACCTAAAATGTTTCTGTGAACCAGGCTGTAAACATGTTTATTTCTGCTGTGAAATGGGACATTTTTAACATGGGAGTCAATGAGGATTTGCTCACTTCTGCCGCCAGACCCTAGTGGATGACGATGAAACTGCAACTTTAGCCACACCTTCTTGGCTTAAAAAAATAGACCATAATGGTCCCGCCATGCACCCAGAACCATCACTACCATGTGTGCTTAATAGAATCATCCGAGGAGCCTAGGGCAGTCAGTAACCATCATCTCCCGTCTGCTGTGAACTTTTACCTTAACTTGGGATTTAAATCCCATTTCCTTCAGTGGATCACTTAAAAAAATAATGGTTTTGTTGTTGAGTTACTGTTTATAAAGTATTTTCCTAAAACAACTAAAAGAGCACCTGTGCTTTTTTTAAACGAGCGTTTTAAGGCACCAACATCCTGTTTGAGCTGACTGGGTAATGTCCTGCTGATGTTGACATTCTGGGTACTGGTTGCCTTTGAGGTGCCAAATGAATCAATGTTATCAGTGTTAAAACTGAAATTCCTCAGTCTCTGACCTCCTGCTGTCCTTGTCTGCAGTCATCCATTTATATGACCTGTGTGATGGACAACCGCCAAAATGATAACTATTAATAGTGTGTGTGATGGTGTGCAGACGTGACATCAGGCACACCTCGTCATCGCGGTCTCCTCTAATGTCCTCTGCGCTGAGGATTTAAGACTCGCAGCTGTTCAACACCTTTGTCTCCATTTTTTTAGGACAAATTGAGTTCAAATTTATGAGCTTTGACATTTTATTATTAAAAGCACAGATTAAGTATCTGAAAAGAAAACACCCACGGTGCAGTAAATACTATGTAATATGTCCATTATACTATGGTATACTGAAATATGGATTCTGCAGGAAGAACGAATCCACTCAGGTTTAACTCATGACACAAATAAATAAAACCAAGAAAACAGGGAAGAACTAATCGAAGCTGGGCTGGTCGACGTCTGGTGGCAAAGTGCATCTAGTCAGGTGTGACAGGTAGAGAGGAGTAGTGAAGGGAACGAGGCCCGCGGCACCTTTGAGGATGGTCAGCAGCCGGTCTGCTGCACCGAAGACACCCTCTGGAGTCTGGAGTGATGGAAACAAACGGATCAGAGTGACACGTTGTTCTACTGAGGAGCTTTGATTTATTCAACATTTACTGTAAATAATTATGTAAAATCTCTAAATAAATGAAAGAATAAAAAAAAAAGTCCAGATAAATGGAGGAAATCCACATGCTCATATTTTGTTAGTACCTAAAACAAAACACCTATTTAACAACATTTTGGTTTAGAAGAACAGCAATGTGCTTCTGTGTAAACGTTTTTAAATGATTATTCTGTTACCCACTCTACATAACTTCCTGAATGGTCTATGTTAGGAGAAATACTGCTCATTTCCTACAAGACTGATGAGCTAGCGTGAATCCTTTCATATTTGTCGAGTCACTTTTGCAGAAGCTCTTAATCAAACATCTTAATAAGAATAACGCCGGGGACACACCGGCCGCGGAAGCGCCGCGAAGCGAATCGCTCACGAAATTCGGCCGCTGATCGCCGCTCCTCAGTTCAGATCAGACGCGCCCCAGTCGAGGCGCGCCTCGGCTCAGCTGTAGTTTTTCTTTTAAACACTTGATGTCCTCCACTTCCTCTCTGCCTTTTCTCAGCTCTTTTCCTCTACGTTTGAGTGTGTGTGTGTGTGTGTGTGTGAACTATATATAGTATGAGCGCGGCTTGTCTGCAGCTCACCGCTCCCCCAGGGGATGGGTCAAATGCGGAGAATAAATTTCGCACACACACCTGTGTGTGTGACAACTAATGGGACTTTAACTTTTATGAGTTGTTTCTGCCAGTTGAATCTCTTGGAACCCGCTCCAATTCTGCAGCTGTATCCTAGCAGTTTCTTCCGACATGGGTACGTAAATAATCGTGTTTTTCGGGGGTCGTACAGCTCCTTGTGTTTCTCAACTTCCATAATTGATTTAAAGTCATCCATCTTAACTGCTTGCCGCAGACTTTCTGCCTCTCTGTCCTGTTTGCTCCGGTGAAAAGACACCCAAAACCACACCCCCCTTCACGTGGTCACACACGCACTATGTGTGTGTGTGCTCGTGTGGTTTTTCTGCAGTGTCTGATTACGAACACATTTGACTATTGCGGAATTTTTATTTTGAAATGCTTTATTTTGTTAACTTTACCGGCCTGCCTCTTATGTCTAGGTTTGACTTCCTGCCAGAATTGAGGCGATTCACCCGCGGGGCTCGCGAAAAAAATAAGAGCCGACGCCGAAATGATCGCTGCACGGCGCGGGCTGGAGCGCTGGCGCGAGGCGATTCGCGGCGCTTCGGCGGCCCATGTGGTCTATAGAATAGCTTAACAAGGGCGCCGAATGAAGGCGGTCCCATTTTCGCGGCGCTTCCGCGGCCGGTGTGTCCCCGGCGTAAGAATACCTTTATTATAGTCCCTCAGTGGGGACAGCAGGACAGCAGCAGTAGCACACAAGATATCACACACATACACATACATATCTTCAAAATTTTCCAAAAATAATTACGTGACGCAAAATTGATGGAGGTATAAATGTTTATTCATAGCAGCTGTGAAATTTAAAGGGCCTGGATCACGCTATTGCACTTTCCAGAGTAACAATAGATATATGATAAAATATTAACATTGGCACTACTGAGTAGGGATGTAAGAAAATATCGATATGGCAATATATCGTGATATATTTTTCTGCGATATTTTGATTTTCAAAAGCTATGTATTGGATTATTTAGAAGAACTTACATTATAAAAAATTTTTGGGGTGCAATTCAAATGCCGACCTCTAGTTGGCAGCAGTGTGCAGTGGGTTTTGTTTCTACCATTGAAATGTAAATCCCCCTATCATGGTTCAAATACCTCATGTTAAACGTGTTAAGTATCGGTTTGGACTGTTTTTTTTTTTCTACAATAAATTCAGTCTAAAAAGTTGCTAATGTCATCTGGCTTAATGTATCACAATACATCTCCCCTGTATTATGATACATATCGTATCGCCAGATTTTCACCAATACAGATCCCTACTATTGAGATGCCAGTTTTTATGAAATTTAAGTTATTTTCTTGTGCCAATTCAGAAATAAGATGCTTGGATTACGTTAAACCTCGTCTCGTCCACAATAGTACACTGCTGCAGACCCAGACACTGCAGATTCCCACAGTCATGTCGCACTTAGCAATTGCAGTACAGACACAACCCTGGAGAATGCTCCTACATAGGGGCGAGCCGCTAACACACACACGCACACGTGCACACACACACACCACTCGAGCAAAGATAGCTAAAATTGTAGCAGATTCCAAGCCTGATTCATTGTCCAGTTCTGACGCTCACCTGCCACACAGCTAGCACTCTTGCTCTCTGCTGACTTATGTTATGCCACTTATACACTAGCAATAGCTCGACTTTGCCCTGTCGCGTTTGTTCCACACTGCCTTAGGAATGCGGACGTGATTGAGCACATGGGGGGGTCTGTGAGGTCATGAGCGCATCTCCAAGCACGTAAAGATTGGAGAAGTCTGCAGTGTCTCCATTATGTGGCCTGAGCAGTCTTGCTTTTGGAGACTCTGATTCTGATACTGCATCCTTCTTTGCTGTGTGTGTGTTTGTGTGCCTTCTCACAGCAGTGACGGACAGAGAAAAACAGCTTCTTGCAGGGGCTTGAATACTCCAAAGCATCCCTTAGAAATTTTCTAAGGGAGCAAAGTGTAGTTTCTCATGGGAAGAAAGCGAGAATCAGAAGGAGGGGTCGGTTGGCTGTAGTAATATTGGGTGGGTGGAGCCCGGGCAGGAGGAGCCGGTGCACGATGCAACTGGTCTGTTAAAGATAGATGTGATGTCATTGGAGCTTCTGTAGTTGGTCACGCCGAGGCGATTCCCATAGTGAAACACCAATTGTGAAGTAAATGGTGTCGTTTTCTTCCAAGAAAGAAGTTATACTGAGGTAGAGGAACTTGTTGAGAAAAAACCTCTATCTCGTGAAGAATTTAAAACGTCATATTTGTGGTTTTCTAAGGTAAAATTAGACCTTTTTCACCCCCTTCTGATTCTTTGAAAGTCACTTGACCAGATCGGAGAATCCCTAATTAGAAGTCAATTTAATATGGTAGCAACATAGTTTGATCTAGTCTACAGGGAGTGCAGTATTATTAGGCAAATGAGTATTTTGTCCACATCATCCTCTTCATGCATGTCGTCTTACTCCAAGCTGTATAGGGTCGAAAGCCTACTACCAATTAAGCATATTAGGTGATGTGCATCTCTGTAATGAGAAGGGGTGTGGTCTAATGACATCAACACCCTATATCAGGTGTGCATAATTATTAGGCAACTTCCTTTGGCAAAAGGGGTCAAAAGAAGGACTTGACAGGCTCAGAAAGGTCAAAAATAGTGAGATATCTTGCAGAGGGATGCAGCAGTCTTAAAATTGCAAAGCTTCTGAAGCGTGATCATCGAACAATCAAGTGTTTCATTCAAAATAGTCAACAGGGTCGCAAGAAGCGTGTGGACAAACCAAGGTGCAAAATAACTGCCCATGAAGTGAGAAAAGTCAAGCGTGCAGCTGCCAAGATGCCACTTGCCACCAGTTTGGCCATATTTCAGAGCTGCAGCATCACTGGAGTGCCCAAAAGCACAAGGTGTGCAATACTCAGAGACATGGCCAAGGTAAGAAAGGCTGAAAGACGACCACCACTGAACAAGACACACAAGCTGAAACGTCAAGACTGGGCCAAGAAATATCTCCAGACTGATTCTTCTAAGGTTTTATGGACTGATGAAATGAGAGTGAGTCTTGATGGGCCAGATGGATGGGCCCGTGGCTGGACTGGTAAAGGGCAGAGAGCTCCAGTCCGACTCAGACGCCAGCAAGGTGGAGTACTGGTTTGGGCTGGTATCATCAAAGATGAGCTTGTGGGGCCTTTTCGGGTTGAGGATGGAGTCGAGCTCAACTCCCAGTCCTACTGCCAGTTTCTGGAAGACACCTTCTTCAAGCAGTGGTACAGGAAGAAGTCTGCATCCTTCAAGAAAACCATGATGTTCATGCAGGACAATGCTCCATCACACGCGTCCAAGTACTCCACAGCGTGGCTGGCAAGAAAGGGTATAAAAGAAGAAAAACTAATGACATGGCCTCCTTGTTCACCTGATCTGAACCCCATTGAGAACCTGTGGTCCATCATCAAATGTGAGATTTACAAGGAGGGAAAACGGTACACCTCTCTGAACCGTGTCTGGGAGGCTGTGGTTGCTGCTGCACGCAATGTTGATGGTGAACAGATCAAAACACTGACAGAATCCATGGATGGCAGGCTTTTGAGTGTCCTTGCAAAGAAAGGTGGCTATGTTGGTCTCTGATTTGTTTTTGAATGTCAGAAATGTATATTTGGGAATGTGGAGATGTTATACTGGTTTCACTGGTAAAATAAATAATTGAAATGGGTATATATTTGTTTTTTGTTAAGTTGCCTAATAATTATGCACAGTAATAGCCACCTGCACACACAGAAATCCCCCTAAAATAGCTAAAAACAAACTAAAAACTACTTCCAAAAACATTCAGCTTTGATATTAATGAGTTTTTTTGGGTTCATTGAGAACATGGTTGTTGTTCAATAATAAAATGATTCCTCAAAAATACAACTTGCCTAATAATTCTGCACTCCCTGTATGTTCAGACTAGCTGTTAGCTCATCAGTCCTTAAAGATGTAAACCCTATTTCTCCAAACTAAGGCTGTACCCTGTTTACTGAACAACCAGTATAAACTGTCAGACAGTCTGGTGCACACAAACCTGGTCTTCCGCAAACAACAGGGGGCAGTGGAGCGATGCAGCTAACATCCTGACAGCATCCAGACGCCTTGTGGGGACAGAGGCATTACGAGCTACGGGACGTAGAAGCAAAGATCAGAGAGCCACAGAGACCTCTGGAACCTGACAAGTCACAGCACCATTAGGAGTGGAAGTCATACCCTTAGTAACCATGAAACAGACTTTTCCCAGGAAATATCCAGGGTCCAAATATTTCAAAGAAGCTTCAGCAGACTGGAAACTGTCACAGAACAAGAAGCATACATGGGATTACTTTTACTAACAGAAGTAACACGAATTGTTCAACCAAATGACATTCAATTAAATATCATTTCATTTTTATTAGCAGTGTAAAAGTCAGCCAAATAGATAAATGCATCTATTAGCCTCGCATGTAAAAAATACTTATTTCATAATTCTGTTAGCAGGTAGATTCCATAATAACCTGTAAATATAAAGTCTGTCGCCATGTTAAGTTCCACGAGTGTCCAACTAAAACTACAGGATTAGGAGGTTTTGCCTGTGTTTTCACGTAGTCATGAGATTAGAACTTGGAGGTAAGCGTTACCTGGGCTCTGAGGTCAGATTGATTATGAACACCACCAGGTCGATCCTGGGACGCCTCTCATTCACAGGCAGAGGTAAACTCTTAGCAAGCCTCCTGCCAGATACATCAGTCAAAAAAATAAAGGTTTTGTCTGCTTTTAAACTCAAAATTACTGAAGATGATACAATTACAGTAAAGCTCTGTCCTTCAGGAGCTTCTCTAGTGGAGAGCAGAGAACATCTGAAGGTAGGATGAGAGCAGCACGACTCACACATTCACGACGACGCTGGTCTCCTTCAGCAGAGCGTCGCCTAATCTCAGCTGAAGCTTCTCCTCGTTCTCCACCAGCTGTAGGCAGAAACACACACACAGTCACTGGTGTGTCCTATCCACCATCACATCCTCACCAAAACCCCAGCATGAGAGAATGGGCCTGGATGCCACAGTCTACGATATTACACTAAAATATTTTTTTCTTAATAAAAAGAGATGACTGTGTTTTACTTCCAACGCTGACACTGAAGACAAACAATCCCGACGTAATATCTTAATTTTTATCATTTATGGATGCAGCATTTACATCAGGATGTATGAGCTGGGCAACAGTTATGTCCACTGTGAGCAACCATCTTTGAACAGAGGCGGTGGTTTCAATCAATCAATCAAATTTTATTTGTAGAGCACCTTCTACAACATTATCGGAAGCCCAAGGTGCTGAACAGCATCATTAAAAGAAAAACGTTCCCAGTACATGGGCATAAAAGCAGGATAAAAACATAAAATCATAAAATATCAAGCAAACACTGTTACAGATAAAGAGAGATATAGGAATAAGACTAATTGATAAAAAAAACAAATGTCGGACAAAATAAAATCAAGCATCTGGGTTAAAAAGAAGAATAGTTAAAACCATAATGTCAGGGCAATTCAAATGACCCTAGCGCTAAAACGCAATCAAATAAAAATGAGTCTTTAAACAAGACTTAAAGACTTGAAGGGATGGTGCCTGCTAATGCTCAGTGGCAATTCGTTCCACAGAGTTGGAGCCAAAATAGAAAAAGCACGACTACCCCTCGATCGAAATTTCGACCGGGGGACCACCAGAAGTTCCTGCTCGGCTGAGCGAAGAGACCGAGATGGAGCATACCTGTTCAAAAGCCCAGTAATGTACGAGGGGGCACTGCCCTGGAGGGCCTTATAAACGAGAGTTAAGATTTTAAACTGAGCTCTATATTTTACCGGGAGCCAGTGCAGAGCAGTCAGCACTGGGGTAATGTGCTCTCGACATCTAGTGCCTGTCAGGAACCTAGCCACAGAGTTCTGCACAAACTGGAGCCGTGCAACCGTGTACTGGGCCAGACCAGCATACAGAGCGTTGCAGTAGTCCAGCCGGGACAGGACGGTTTACGACACCAACTGTCTGCCATCTATAATCCAGTTTTGAGATCCCTTCCCAGATGCCTCAATGCCCACGCATATCCTGGGCCATCTGACCTCAGGAATTCACATGATAGGGTGGGGCAAGGCTTCACAATGAGCTCACCCGAAACTCTGGCTGAATAGGTCCCACACCCACCCTCAATGTGTTTATGTAGAAGATCATCAGGGGGCCTTTTGTTCCCTCCTCGGGGGGAAACTCCCACTGGATTTAAATCTGGGACTCTCCACCATTGATGAGAGGTGAAACGTCTTCAAGCAACTCAAAGAAGTCCAGACGCTTTTCTTTATACGCTCATTAGACTACAATGACCTGGATGACTGAGAACCTTCACAGACCTGGGCAACAGTTGTTTCACTGTGGTCCACCACAGTATCTGGGCCCTGATGATTGCCAGATTTATCTTCCATTCCAGCAGGGGGCCGGTGGACACGTCTCTCCACTTCTGGGCTAATTAAGAGACGTTAGATCCTGGATGGCTTCTAGCTTTTTACTCCCGAATGACACAAAAACTGAAGTCCTAATTCTCAGAAGGCTGACGTGGACATTGGCACCATTTGAAAAGAAAGTTGTCATTAATCTGGGGATAAAAATACAGGGTGGGCCATTTATATGGATACACCTTAATAAAATGAGAATGGTTGGTGATATTAACGTCCTGTTTGTGGCACATTAGTATACGTATGTGAGGGGGCAAACTTTTCAAGACCATGGTGGCCATTTTGAAGTTGGCCATCTTGGATCCAACTTTTGTTTTTTTTTTAATAGGAAGAGGGTCATGTGACACATAAAACTTATTGGGAATTTCATAAGAAAAACAATGGTGTGCTTGGCGTTAAAGTAACTTTATTCTTTCATGAGTTATTTACAAGTATCTCTTTGTTCACAGCCATTGACATGTCGAAGAGGTTAACACGTGAGAAGCGGATCATAATTATGTTGATATCTGGTGAACGCAGTAACCAGATATACGATATGTTGTGCAGCCCTACATAAAAGGTTATTTAATACCTTTTCATGCATGCTGACCACAGTAGAACGCATTTCATTTAAATGTCCAGTTTTTCTTCATGACTTGTTTCGCATAATTAAACTTTTTGTTTTTTGTCAGTTGTTCTGTCTTCATAGAAGATACCATACATCCAACCTGGCATTCTGTATAGCTGTGGTACCTTCATAGAGGGGAAATCCACTGAGAAATTGCAACCAACACCAAGACGCTCTCATTCACCTTCTTTCCAACTCTTTGTCCTGTTTGTAGTTCTTCCATGTCTTTCTTGTAGGTATGCGATGACTTTTCAAATTTTCACTTCATTTTTAATTCCTTTCATATGTTTTTAAATTACTTATTGGCTCATTAACTGTGATGCGCTACAGCGCATCTAAATTATAAACTGCACAGATGCAAACTGGGTAGAGGCGCACAGGGTTTCCTTTGGTGTTTGTAAATTTATTTGCCTATGCGTAAGTTTGTTAATAATGATCCCTGCAGATGTGCAGACATTTTAAACATTACGCATCGCAGAGATAACATCCATCAAGATACGATTCTCATCAGTGTCTTGACACTAGGCTTGGGCGGTATTACGGTATTACACGCGGTATTACAAAATAGCGACGTGTCAGTTCCAATACCGTCATGAAAAACAGCTGTGCGACTGACCAGTTCCTCTATCCTCCCCATACTCCAGCTCTGCAGGGAGAGTGTGTTGGCTGTGTCAGAAAATGACCTCCAGCTAATACAAAGTCAATAAAAACCACAATTCTAAAAAAGCTGGAGGCCAAGTATGAATCTGATTCAGTGCGCAAATTAATGCGAAAATGCACTTTCCTCGACCCTCGTTACCGTGGCAGATATGAGCTTGATGACAACGCACTGGCTGAAATCAAAGCTGAATTACAGGCTGAGATCGTGAGCTTAGAGGGGCAAACAGCACCAGAAGCAGTGGCCATCCGAACCAGAGGAACGAGCACAACCTGAACCCCCACGCAAAAAGATGTCTCTGGGGGCTCTCCTGCAAAAACGAGCCGCTGACGCTGCGCCGGAGGGTCCCATCAGCGCAGAGCAGCGAGCTGGAGCTGAAATAACAGCGTGCTGTTTGGAACCTGTTATTCATGGGGACGAAGACCCTCTTCTCTGGTGGAAATATGCTGGCAGTCGTTTCTAATTAAGTGGAAGTTAGACGGTATTCAAATTTGGATACCGCCCAAGCCTACTTGACACATAAAACTTATTCACTCAAGTGAACTGTGCACTGAAGAGACTCGGACCGCATCTGCGACAGACCAGCTCACAGTAGGGATGACCAGATTCCCCGCTTTGGGCGCACCTGCAAGAGTCATTTTTAACAAACACACACACACAGGAAGCCCTGTGCACGTTTGCCTGGTTTGCGTCTGTGCAGTTTATAGTTCAGACTAACCGTTTAATTATAGATCCACTAGGATAAATACAATAGTTGATCTCACCAAATAGAATATTTACTAAGACAATAGAATAGAACTATAGACACATTATTGTGTGTGTGTGTGTGTGTGTGTGCGCTCTGTCTTCTCGATCCCCAGTGAGTCGTGGAGGATGGCTGCTTATACTGAGCCAGGATCCTCTGGAGGTTTCTTCCTGTTAAAAGGGAGTTTCCCTCTCCACTGTCGCTGCATGCTTGCTTAGTATGAGGATTGCTGTATAGTCACCGACACTCGTCAGTGTGCTGGGTTCCTTATATAGGACACATTATTTCTGATTGGCTTAATGAACTGTGAATTGGAATGTTTATTATGTGAAGTGCCTTGAGACGACTCTTGTCGTGATTTGGCGCTATATAAATAAATTTGAATTGAATTGAATTGCTGTAGCATGTGACACAACTAATGAACCAATAAGTAATTTAAAGCCACATGAAAGTAAACGCCTGAGCAGCCCACCCTGAGTATCTTCAGGAATAACGTTTTGATAAAACATTTGCTTGTGTGGTTGTCTGTTCGGATCTTCACAGCCGGTCAATGAGCCACAAGCAACAAAGGTGAAGACACACTTTATCAGCTCTTGTCCATGGTGCTGAAAGAAAATGACTGGATCACCTGCATCATTGGATGATTTGGTTAATTTAATAAAACAATCGGTTAGTATTATTTAAAAGCTTACGATACAACTCTATTAGCAAAAAGTTAACTATTTTGTGCTTTTAAGTGGAGATCCTCTCAGGAAAGCCCAGCCCTGGAACACATCCTTCCACATTGATAAGTGAGTTGTGGCCATGAATATGGAAAGTTAATCAATTAAAATTTTAAAAAGCATGTCCAGCTTAAAGAATGTTTTATTGTCGGGATGATTCCAGTTCCAGTGTGGGCCTGATGCTAAAAAAATGCATAAATCTGGTTTTACTGAAGTTTCACAAATCACTAACTGTTTTACATAATCTGCTATTAGTCTAGAATAATCTAGTACAGGTTTTAAGTGTCTGTGCTCGAGCAGATTAAAGATGGTCAGAGGAGAGAAGAATTGGGTGTAATTGCCCTTTAGCCACTTCCCGAACCAGAAGCTGGAATCGGAAGCTAACTTCAGCCTCGTGGCTTTTTATCTAAAACAAAAACAAGGATGTTTTTGGGTTTCTTATGTTTAGCCGAACGAAGGCATAACTCGAAACAAGTGCAAAGCTTCCTAAATAATGCTTGACAAACAGAATAAAACACTTTAACTGACATGAACGTGTTTTTTAGGAAACCCCCTATTTTAGCAGACTGAATGCAGTACGCAGAAACCTATTTTATGTAGCAGAAGCTAACAAAATTAGCATTTATTAGCTACTTACGTGCTCCTTTAGTTGCAAAATGACGAAAAAACCTAACTTACCAAGATAATAGCCGTATTCAGTCCAGGGAGTTTACTAAACGGCTTCAAGAGCGCCATAGTAGAAGGAAAATACTTCAAATTGCTCTAGTTTCGTTTATTTACCAAAGCAAGAAAGAGCTGCCGCATGTTTTTCAAATTTCTCTGACGTCATTACGCCTAACGTTTGGCTGCTGTCTGCCACCTGGTGGCCGTACTGAGTGTAGCAACTCAGATTTTACCAGTGAAGCTTTTCATGAAAATTATTTTCTAGGTTTACAAAGGCGGACCGCTACAGGGAGGTCACTCTCCAGAGCCTCCCTGGTAAGATCTATTGGGGTTCTGGAGAGGAGGGTCCATCGGATTGTCGAACCTCCGATTCAGGAGGAACATTGTGGTTTTCGTCCTGGCTGTGGAACACTGGACCAGCTCTATACCCTTAGGGGGTTCCTGGAGGGTGCGTGGGAGTTCGCCCAACCAATCTACACGTGTTTTGTTCAACCCCGTCCGTTGGGGGGTACTTCGGGAGTATGGGGTGCCAGGCCCTTTGATGAGGGCTGTTAGGTCCCTGTATGACCAGTGTCAGAGCTTGGCCCATATTGCCAGTGTGGCAAGGTGGAGCACCGAGGGCCCGGGTGGGATTTGATCCCCAGACTCCCGGGTGAGAGTCATGCGCGCTAACCAGTCAGCCAAAGGGACATCCCCTTGGCCAAGTAGCCAGGGCGCATGATCAATCGGGACACTGACAGGACGCTCACACTGTCACATCAGCAGTAGGTCGAGCTCATTTCCGGTGAGAGTTGGACTCCGCCAAGGCTGCACTTTGTCGCCGATTCTGTTCATAACTTTTATGGACAGGATTTCTGGGCACAGCCAAGATGTTGAGGGGATCCGTTATGATGGCCTGAGGATCGGGTTTCTGCTTTTTGCAGATGATGTGGTCCTGTTGGCTTCATCATACATCTCTGGCATTTGCTGGAGCGGTTCTAAGCAGTGTGAAGCAGATGGGATGAGAATCGGCTCCTCTAAATCCGGGACCATGGTTGTGAGTCGGTAAAGGGTAGAATGCCTTCTCTGGGTCAGGGATGAGGTCGTGCCTCAAGTAGAGGAGTTTAAGTATCTCGGGGTCTTTTTCATGAGTGAAGGAAAGATGGAGCGTGAGATCGACAGGTGGATTGGGGCTGCGTTTGCAGTGATGGGGGCGTTGCACCGATCTGTCGTGGTGAAGAGAGCGACTCTCTAATTGCCCTCTGGGATTAATAAAGTATCTTTGAATTTGAAGTCAGAAGGTGAGTGCCAGAGAAACATCTGGCACAAGGCTGATCAGCACCGGTACACCACAGGGGTGTGTCCTTTCTCCACTGCTCTTTTCATTGTACACCAATAACTGCACCTCTAATGACTCAGCTGTAAAAATCCTGAAATTTGCAGATGACACCACTGTCATTGGGCTCATCCAGGATGGTGATGAGTCTGCTTATCACCGAGAAGTTGAGAGGCTGGTGGTCTGGTGTAGTCAGCACAATCTTGAGCTTAACACCCTTAAGACTGTGGAGATGGTCATGGATTTTAGGAAGCTTCCCACAGTGCTGCCCCCCCTCACAATATCTAACAGCCCAGTGTCAATGGTGGACTCATTCAAGTTCTTGGGAACTATCATTTCCAGGGATCTGAAGTGGGAAACAAACATCAACTCCATCCTCAAAAAGGCTCAGCAGAGGATGCATTTCTTACGGCAACTAAGGAAGTACGGCCTACCACAAGAGCTGCTGATCATCTTCTACACTGCTGCAGTCGAATCCATACTTTGCTCATCCATCACTGTCTGGTTTGGGTCAGCCACAAAAATGGACAAATGCAGACTACAGCGTATTATTAAAACAGCAGGAAAAATCATTGGTGCCCAACTGCCCTCTGTCCAGGAACTGTACATCAGCAGGACCAGGAAAAAGGCAGTGAATATTGTCCAAGATGCCACACATCCTGCATCTACTCTCTTCCATCTCCTCCCATCTGGCAGACGCTATAGATCACTGTACACAACAACTACCAGACACAAGAACAGTTTCTTTCCTTCAGCTATTTCTCTCCTGAATCTGTAGATTCTTTTACCATCCTTTTACTATAGTTTTTAATACTTAATCAGTATGCTTATGGATATGTGTGTGTGTGTGTGCGCGTGCGTGCGTGTGTGGGTATGTATATAGGTGTGTGCGTAAATGAACATGTGTGTGGGTATACATGTTCTTATGTGTTTTTAGGTATTTTTATTCTCATTTATTATGGTTGTTGTATGTTTTAGAGAGCGAACATCTACCGAAGACAAATTCCTTGTAAATGTAATTTTACTTGGCCAATAAATCTGAAATCTGAAGCTCTGAATTTAGAGGTAGATACGTTCCTACCCTCACCTATGGTCACGAGCTTTGGGTAGAGACAGGAAAAATTAGATCGCGGATACAAGCGGCTGAAATGAGTTTGCTCCGCAGGATATCTGGGCTCTCCCTTATTAGAGATAGGGTGAGAAGCTCAGTCATCTGGGAGGGGTTCAGTTGATCCGCTGCACCTCCATGTCGGGAGGATCCAGTTGAAGTGGCTCGGGCGTCTGGTTAGGAAGCCTCCTTGAAGTTTTCCAGGCATGTCCAAATAGGAGGAGACCTAAAGGAAGACCCAGGAAATGCTGGAGGGACCATGCCCCTCATCTGGCCAGGGAACGCCTCGGGATTCCCCTGGAGGAGCTGGCACAAGTAGCTGGGGAGAGGGAAGTCTGGGCTCGCTCCTCAGACTGCTGCCCCAGCGACCCGACCCCGGATAAGCAACAGATAACGGACGGATGTTTTTTAGGTATGATTCACTTCAGCAGCTTGTCTTCAGCTCTTAAACTAATTCTTGGTAATTATTTTTTTTATAAAACACAACAAAAAAAAAAAACATTTTGTTGATGTAAGAAATAACCATCATTTGGGTAGGTTAGAATTGTTACAACACACGTTTATCAGCCTCCTTTACCCATTTAAACACTGATTTTACAGCTCTGTAGAGTTTTAATTATTTCTAAACTCTTCAAGATATAAAAAATGAAAGATTTGTCCCACACTTCAACAGAAGCAAAGATTTTATTTACTTTTGAGGTGCCAATCCAAATTAGACCCCTCCCCCCAGGTAAATCCAGTCTGCACCACAGTATCAGCACGTGTGTAAATATGGTCTCATCTTTCCGGACGAGGAAACGTATTAAGATGATCCGTTTCGGGGGGCACTGAGCTGATTTTTAAAGAACCCGGTCGTTTCTGCCTCTTAAACGATGCTCGTCGCATTTCTCTAATAAACCCGTCCCGACTCAAAGGCAGCAAACAAAACAAACACATGAACCTTCTGTGGGTCACAGCATCACAAAGGCTGCACCAGTGAACGGCGGTATGCAACAGAAAATGGAAGATGCCTGTATAAACAAACCAAAATGATAAAAATAGCACTTCATGTGACAAAAATAAAAGCCAAGTTAAATGTGGGCTGCTGCCTGCTCATCCTGCGCCACCGTGAGTAATTCCCTGTTGGGCTGACGAGACGAGAAACTAATAGACTGTGTCCAGTAAACTTTCTCATAGTTGGTGTTACTTCTTCCCCACCAGCCATATTTACATGTCCTGGCTTGAACATGCACAGAGTCGGATAACAAACGCCCTCGCACCGGCACACGCTTCTTCTCATGCTCCTTTTAACATCTCATCAAAACCAAACTGTTTATATCTCCCCGGACTCTCGCTCCTCAGAGCTGGAGCGTCTGTCCCGCTCCAACGACAGGGATCTCTCTCGTTCCTTGCTCCTGGGCATGTCCGGTGAAACGGAGCGCTCCCTGTCCTCCCAGTCTCCACACTCCACCCTGTCGTTGCGCCACCCCTCCTCCGGGCGCTCCCGCGGCCTCTCCTGGGACAGCGAGCGCTCTCTGTCGCGAGTGTGAGATGAGCCGTCTCTGGAGGATCTGCGGAAACAATCAGCCAGAGTTCCTAAAAGCTGTAAAACTTCAGTTCTCCTGCTCTACAGAATGATCCAGCTGAGGAGGTGCTGGACGGCACCAGCACCTCCTCAGCTGACAGAAGCGTGACTGATGAGCCATCTTCACACCTCTTCTTCTTGTGCCTGTGCGAGTGTGAGCGATGTCGATCCTTGTGTCGATGTTTCCTGTCTCGCTCACGATCCCGGTCCGACCCATCTTCTCTGGAGCGGGAGGAGCGGTGATGTCTGGGGCGATGGGACGAAGAACTTCCCCCTTCCCTGGATAATAAATACAACATAACTTAAAGCATGTCGCGGTGCGATGAACAGATTAAGGTGACTGCTTTAGATGACCAGACTTTGTTACTGATGTTTAAAGGTTAAAGTGGCTGTTTGACTACATAAAGATTTATCCGTTTGTTTTAATCCTGTAAGATTAAAGTCAGGATGGAAGTTGAAATAATTGACTCTTAATATGGTTTCCGTAAAACTTTGACCAATAATTAATTAAATCCTGTTGCTCAAGCAAGAGATGCTCTTCTTTACTGACGATCGGAGGAAGTTATGATATCGGTGTAGGGCTGCTCGATTATGGCAAAAATAATAATCACAGTTATTGTGACTGAATTTGAGATCTCGATTATTTAAGACGATTTTTCAATTAATGTTGATTTTATTAGTTTTTATTCTGTCATAGAATTGCTCAGGGCACAATCAGGACAAAAATAAGAAACAAGATGATCACTAAAAGAATTCCTGATTCCCAGTAAAAAAAGACCAATATACTTATAGCTCATAGTTTATGACCCAAGGGCTATAGACCTTGGTTTAACTCATTTAAGTCTAACCAGTACAGACCCAAATACCAATATCCTGCAAATACTGACAGCAAGAATTATACAGTGGCATTTATAACAAATAAATGCAAATAAATTGATGTTCATAAAATGTTGTATAACATTTATTGAGTCGTGTCAAGGTGCTGAAGGAGCGTGCACTAGCACCGTGTCCTCAGAGAGATTAGTTATTATTTATCAGCGTGAGGAACTTAATCTACCTTATTTATAAACTATTTATTTACAGGCCCATCAGTTAATGTAATAATTGTCCCAACCACAGCTGCACCCCCCACCCCCCACCCCAGTCTCACAGCAATCATGGGCAAGCTGTATGTGCGTTTAGCACGCCGCACATTTAGTTGTTTTTAGCGGCTCAGGAGCCCACAGGTATGGTGTGTGTCACTCACTCTGGTTAATCCAACAGGGAGCCGGCTCTGAGAGCCGTTTCTATAGCGACCGACACATCACTACATCATTCCCTTTCCTAATGTCCTGAAGAACGGTCGGGAGCGCAGGTGGAGTGTTTAGCTAACCTGCAGGAAATGTCGACGACAGTTATCCAGAAAGTAGCTAAGGGTTACCAGAGATGTTTCTGAGATGTTCGCTAGGTACTTTTAAGATTTAAAAAGTCAAGAAGGGGGTCTGAGAAGCTGTTAGAAATAGTGTCAAAGTCGCTAAGTTGGCAACAGGGAGGAGCGCTTCATTTGCAACTCAGCGCAGCGCAAGTGGGAGGAGCAAATAATCGGCTTGTTTTGTTTTTAATAATCGTTCAAAACTCAGATCGTAATTGGGATTAAAATTTGATTAATTGAGCAGCCCTATATCGGTGAGTGAGAAAATGCAGCATAGTGCAGCGTATTGTGGTGAAATTCAACCGTTTACTTCTAACAATCCAGGAGGAAATGAGTTTCTATTGTTCTTTAAATTATGGTTGTAAATCCAAATGTGACTAGAAAACAGCTAACTGTCTATAGAAAGCTAAATGCATCCTGCAGGAATGAAGTACGTCATTTTTTGTAAAACAAACAAACAAACGGGTCATCTGCGTGTCATGTCACGCTGATATGAAGACATCTCTGAAGGCAGAAGCAAAGTATTAAAAATCTGTCGTCTGTAAAGAAAACTCATCGTATACCAGTTAACTTTAACGAGCCTTTAACACACACACACACACACACACGCACGCACGCACGCACACACACACACACACACACACACACACACACGCACGCACGCACACACACACACACACACACCTACCTGTACCGCTCTCCACTCCTAGATCTTGACCTGCAGCATCAACAACAGACATGAAGATGTGGATTACGCGTCATGCAGACTGAACAGCTTCTTCAGCGTGCAGATTAACCGTTCCACCTCACCTCCTTCGATCCCGCTCGCGTTCCCGTTCTCTGTCCCATTCCCGCTGTCGTTCCCGCTCTCTCTCTCGCTCCATCTCCCACTGTCGCTCTCTCTCGTCTTCTCGGTCCCGTTCCTCTCGTCGTCTCAAACGCATTCGTTCTTGTTTCTCTACCACAGCTTTCTGCATTAGAAAAGGATAACTGAGGAAAAACTCCAAAGCTCAAACACACAACACTAAAATGCTTTAACTACATTTATTAGATACAGACGCCTTCATGGGCAACTCCAGACTAATGGGCCATTCCCATCTGTACCGGGTCGGCCCGGGCCGGGTAGCGTAGGTTGTTTACATATCTGGGTGGCCTGGTATTTTTCCGGGCCAACCAAGGCTCATTCTCAGCCCTCTTCTCGAGGGGGTCTGCTTCAGGCCGACCAGGGCCAACACACCCACTGCTGACAGCAAATTCACACCTTCCATTAGAGCAAGCCTCTGATTGGTGGGTAGAATCAGCCCACATGGGCTTAAGGCAAGGATGTGTGGAATCAACCGGGCCAGGCTGGGGCCGACTGGGGCTACCCGGCCCGGGCCGACCCGGTACAGATGGGAATGGCCCATAATTATCCTTACCCGTAACTTTTCAAGCTTCTCGCGGATTTCAATAAAACCAAGGTGAAGTTTGCCCCCAAAGTGGTCGGCCAGTCGGCGGTCGTTGTCATGGAGACCCAGGTAGGCCGAGCACACCTCGCACACCCGTAGCTTTTGTTGCTGAAAGCTGGAGGCTGGCATTGAGTTTCTGTAGACATCCTGCAGCAACAGAAACGGTCGCTTTAATTCCACCAGCCAGCTTGTTCAGAACGCTGCTGCTAGAGTCTTCACAAGAACTAAGAGAACGGAGCACATCACTCCTGTTCTTAGATCTCTACACTGGTTACCAGTAAACTACATAGATTTCAAAGTGCTACTACTAGTTTATAAACCACTCAATGGCATGGGGCCAAAACACATGTCAGATCTCATCCCAGTATATGCACCCAGCAGGGTTCTGAGATCCTTACGTAATGATCAGCTGGTAGAACCTCGGGTCAGAACCAAACAGGGTGAAGCTGCTTTTAGCTACTATGCTGCACACATATGGTACCAGCTCCCCCTGGACCCCAGATGTGCCCCAACTCTAGTGTTGTTTAAATCAAAGCTTAACACGCTAATGTACTCATCAGCTTTTGAATGAACGGTTGACTTATGCTGCATCTGTGATGTCATAGCTCAACCATAATTCTGTCTTTTCCTTTTAGCTCCAAAGTATCATTTAATTTGTTGTTCTCATGTTTGCTATTGTGCCATTTCATGCTAATTGTAAAGCACGCTGAACCGCCCTGTTTGAAATGTGCTACTAACTAAAGCGGCCTTGCCAATTAGCCGCCATTTTGGTTGAAGGGTTCCTGTCTACTGCGATGTTTAACGTTTAGGACGCGTCCCAGAAGCAAAGGAATGCTTTGATTACTTTGAGTAGTTACCGAGTCCCGAGTCGATACTTTAGAAATGCATTAAGAAAAAGGAAAACACACAAGTTTTTTTTGATCATTAATATGTTTATTTTTTCTGTATTTATGTAATTTCTTTAGTAAGTACTTTATTGAGGAACATGTTAATATTAAAAATAAAAATAAATTATTTACCATTTACGTTAATAAGAATAAAGATAAAAGTAGCCTTATCGCTCATATTTTAAATCCTTTAGTCGGTGTGAGGCTGTTTTCAGGGACAGGGATGGCACGGCACATGACGGTGAGCAGCAGAGTAACTTTTTTCTACAAAACACCTGCAGAAATGCTGTGTTTGTAAAGGTAGGAAGAGAAAGCAGATCGTACAACGACTGAAGGAGACTGCTGAACCCGACGTTTGCAACCACAGACGCTCATCCAGTCTACAAAAGATGCTGCCATCTTGGCATTTTTGCTTTCCGTAGACCATTTCTTGGTTCCTTAATGTATCTTTAGTTTCGGCTGACTTAGCTTAAATGCTGCAGCGAACTGAGCAGGGTCCATCTCGTTAAATGCTCAGTTTGCACACATTACACGTTTATTACTCTCCCTTTGCTGTTCATTTAAAAATGCATCCAAAATACAGACATTTAGTAAACTATGCTTTGTGTTAGCTAACTGCTACATGTTATGGTGCGTGAATTCCCAGACTAGCTTAAATTGTGGGACTTTACGGTGTTGTCTGTGAAACAAAGAATGCTGATGTAGAGGAACTTGTTGAATTTAAAACGAAGCCACTGTTATTCAGTTTGAAAATCTCTATTTCAGGATGAATTTAAGGCAATGTTTGTTGTTTTAAATCGTCAGATCTGATTTTTCCCACCCGGACCTGATTTGCCGCAGATCAGATCGGGAAATATAAAAGCAGGGTAAAACATCTGGAAACTTTCAAAATAAAAGTCATGGCGTCCAGTTGGAAAGAGGGGTTTGCTTAAGGCAACATCAGGCGAATCTGTGCACCGATCGTCTGAACAGGCCCTAGCTGCCTGATGACGTCTGACAAAACCGAGATGCTTTTTAACCAAACCAAACCACACACACAGACCTCTGCCTCTTTCTTTAAGGCACGGGTTTTCTCCACCTTCTCCAGAAGCTGCTGTGCCTCATCTACGTTCCCCTCACCCCCCAGCTGCTCCGCCTTGGCCAGAAGTTTCCCGATCTCCTCGTTCAACTCGTGGACACGCTCGGCCTTTTCACAGCAGGGGGAACACAAAAGATTAAAGTCAAAGGAGTTCAAGAACATGACATGCTGCTTTCCCCAGGAGAATAAACCCTTTCTGTAATAATACAGGCACATTATCACAAAAGCCTGACAGAACAATGAGCAACTACAACAAAAGTATTTGCCACCTTTGCATCCACTTCAGCACTGATCTCATCCTGCGTCTCTGCTAGTCTCTTCTTAGCCAGCTCAGTCCTGCGGTCGCAGTCGGCGATGAAAGACTGGAGATGCTCTGCAGCCTAAGGGAGAGGGAGAGGAGTCAGACGCCATTTCTACAGAAGCTGCAGACCGATACGGAAAAGCTGATAGAAAGTCTGAGTTTTCAGAGCCATAAGAGGAACGTCCATACAGTAGGGCTGGGGGTAAACGATTATTTTTAAAACGATTATTCTGATGATTATTTTATCGAATAGTCGACTATTCTAATGACTATTTAGAAAATTAATCTAATGATTATTTTTTATTGCACAATTAACAAAAACCAGAAAATCTCAAATAAATTCCTCAAAAAAACTGATAAATTCTTACTGTAAGAGAATAAACACTACAGGCCTTCCATTTTGTATAACACTGCTTTTATTGTGTTGGTTGGTTATGTTCTGGTGACATGTAGAACTTGGGAGTGCAGGCTGCTGCCTGAGAGGTGGTAGAAGATGGAGTGTCTCCATGCTGCTTTGTTCTGGTCACTTATGTGCGTGAGGCGAGTGGTCTTACGACTCTTCCTGGGGAGTTTGGCTCGTGTGCAAAAAGGAAGGGACAATAACGGGATTTAAAAGTTAAAATGATGATCAGGTTTATTTACAACTACAAAAAATCATAAATCTTTCCATCCACAGGTTGGGAGTAATAAAACTAATTCTGCCTGTGGGGAATTAAAACAAAGTACAAATAAGTAGGGATGTCCCACTGGGCAAAGATTACTGGGTTCTGGACCAAAATAAGAATCTCCAAAAGTCCAAACTCTAAACTGGGCGGTTAAACCAAACTCAGGTGATATTTTACACTAAACCGAAAACCCACAACACTCTAAATGTAATAAAAGGGAGATCTGCACCACAAAAAAGATGAACTCTAAACCAAAACGTAACGGCTTATCCCAACGCAAGAAGCTGTTAGCGAAGATGCTAACAGTAGCTTTACCAACGTTAAGTTCAAGTTACCAAGTTTAAATAAACCAAAAACACCCAGCAAACAGAGCAGCATGGAGGAGATACTGCTACCACCAAAACAGCTCTCCTAATGTCTGAAAGAAGCTCCTTAATGAAGGGAGAAACGCTCCCGGTGATGTTCTACATCTGCGGTAGAGACGAAGCAGCGCATCTGACCCCGGAAGTTGTTGTCCGTTGCCGGGAGACGAAGGCGGGCAAAACAGGAAAAGAATCTAGTAGTGGATGGACATTGTTCCGGTCTTCGGTATTTGGCGGAGATGTTACTGAAGGCGGAGAAGAGGGCGAACTAGAGGAAAAACAGGCAGATTCCTCCTCTATTTACAAACTCCTGGGGATGCAACAAGTGGGCGCGGTGCGTCGACTTCCGGATCTGACGTTTTTAGAATCGAGCCGTCAACGTCGTCGAGGCTTCGCTACAGCCCTACCACACAGGCTGAACCCAACTCACTCAACTGTTACAATTATAGTTAATTATTTTTACCCCGTCACCGTAAAACGGCACATTTTAAATTATCTCATAAATTTGAATAAATCACCCACCAGATCTAGATAAACAGATAAATCTATCAGATACGAAAACTGTGAAACATTAATCTCTCTGAACATTTTAATAAAACGGTTTCTCTGTTAAAATAGCATCATTTAGTCCAACCTGCTTTATGTTACATTTGTAATTTAAGTAGCCAAATGCAGAAAAATAAGAATTCTCCATTTATAAACTCATCACAGAGAAGGATGTAAATAAATAATAATTATGGAGAGTGGCTTCAAACACAATGTTTTAGGCTATCAGCAAGCTTGGAGACCTCATGTTAAAATAGTAAGAGTTGATAGAAGAAAATAAAACACCAGAATACAGTGTGTGTGTGTGTGTGTGTGTGTGTGTGTGTGTGTGTGTGTGTGTGTGTTAGAGAGACTTACGTCAAGCTCAAAGAAGTACTCCCGCTCTTTGGAGGCGATCTCAAAATCTGCTCTAAGGGCCAAGTCGTGGACTTTGGCACACTCTCCCAGGTCCATTCTCTACAGAAACAGTAAAATCACTCAGCTCACTTCACTTATTATCTGACATCATATCAGGAAACATAAATGTGCCAACCACACGCCTTCAGCTGCATCATGATAAGCATACATCAGTGACCATTTTCTGTTACTTTCTTTTAGCTACATCTGAGTTTATGACATTAGAAGTGACGTGTGCTTGTGCATCTTAACTAGGGATGGGTACCGAATTCGGTACTTTTTAAGGTACCGACCGAGCACCGATTCACTTCATTTGAAACGGTGCCTCGTTTCGGTACTCGTCCTTCACAAAGAGAACTTGCCTAGACAGCTGCGCATGCGCAAGAGCGTTATGTCATCGGTCGCTGCGAGCGAGTTGTAAACAGAGCAGCATGGTAGAAAGAACGCACGCTAAAGCTTGGGTCCACTTCACTAAATGTGATGGGTAACTGGGTGATGATGAAACCAGCGACAACGATCTAAGTGAGACATCCTCATCTTAATCTGCTCCGGTAGGTAAATAAAATGTTTAAGATAATGTTAGCTTGATTTGTTAGCTTCAGTTTCACTAATGGTGCGTTCGCTTTCTCCTCGGAACTCCGAAATTCCGACTAGAAGAACATGAACGCGCTCTAAAGTTTGGCTTCACTTTACTAAATGCGACGGGTGATTGGGTGAAGATGAAACCAGTGACAATGATCTAAGTATGAGGCATCATCGTTTAAATCTGCTCCAGCAGTTAAATAAACTGTTAAAGATAACGTTAGCTTGATATGTTAGCTTCCATTGCCACCATTGTTATCAGCTAATGGTGCGTTCGCTTTCTCCTCGGAAATTCTAACTTCTCAGTAGGAAAAATCAAATGAAAAAGGACGGTAAAAGGAATGAAGATACACAGTAAATTTAGTTCACAGTAAAGATGTTTGCTTCAGTTTAATTATCAGCTTATAAAACTACAAGGACGATGTTAAAATACAAACAGTTGAATGTTATTTATCGTGATATTTATCAAATATGGTTCTATATTGAGAAAAATATGTATTTAATTAAAAAAGAGAATTAAAATAATAAACACTCAAAAGTATAGAAAATTGGTACCGTTAAGTACCGGTATCGATTCGTAGGTACCGGGAATTAGTACCGGATCGATTCAAATGTCAAAGGTTCCCATCCCTAATCTCAACTATGCTTAAAATGAACATCAGTTCAAAATCAAGCCATGAGGTGAAAAAGAAGGAAGACAGGAAACAGTTTTTCTGGAGGACTTAAAGAGGAGCCGCAGGAAGATAAGAGACAGACAAGACAGGAAAACAGTATTAAAAAAAAAAAAAAAAAAAAAAGCGTTTGAAAAGCAAAATTTGTTGCTAAATATTAAAATACCTGGTCGGGACACCGATAACTTTTGATTTCTGTTTGTACCAAACAAAAACTCCTCATGTCTGATCTGATTTAGTAGCTAGTGGTAAACAATTCTATATCATAGGCCATACAGGTTATACCCCGTACCGTTCACACCATGCTTATTATGAAATTATCAAAGACAACATTCATTTTTTTGTTTTAAAGACAAAAACAGAAAATCCTAGAATAATATGAATATATTCTCAACAACACAATGAGTGTTGGTCATGCAAAATTAACATTATGTTCTCTTAGAGAAGTAGACATGAAACCTTTTCTTCTCCACTCTGCAAAGACCTCTGATGAGTCAGTATCTCACCTGCAGTAGACCGCAGTGATCTAAGCTAAAGGAGCAGTTCCCCCTTTTTTTTTAACTGCTTCTTAACCTCCATCTGGGGACGTAGATGGCAACAAAAAGGTTAACCTTTTACTGTGCGGGGGTGCTAAATTTGCAGCCATGATTACTAACAGTATTATTTTGACAGCTCAGAAAGTTGAAGCAATAATTACGATAAAAAAATCTTAGAGCTAGATTTTTATGAATGTGACGCCCAAAATGTAAAGGTACAGTACAATAGAAAGGATGTAATTTTTTAAACCTGGCTTTTGTTTTTATTTTGATTATGTGGCGAATAAGACCACCACAATTCACTAAAAAGGAATTTGTGTGCAATAATTCATAAAACTTGGCTGAATACAGCAAGATTGTTTCAAATAAAAACCAAGTTGGTTTTAGTTCCTGAGTAAAGACCAATATTTTATTTTCAATAGCAAAAGAGCAGACAACAATCAATTCAACAAATAATTGGGAATTGAATGGTCCATTGTAATAAGTCATCCTGACACCCTTGTAATGTTTTATTACTGGAATTGAGTGTTACACACATACGTGTGTAGGGTTGTCACGGTAACCGGTGTAGCGGTAAACCCCGGTAAAAAAGTTGACAAAAATAATAACCGTCTTGTTTTTAAAACATATTATCTTGGTGGATTACCGTGGCTGTGGTGTACGCGCGGTGACCCTTACCAGCCACCGTACCATCTGCTGAAGTTGCCGGCGGCACATGCGCGCTTTGTTGTTTACAACCAAAACTTTCTTGAAGCTAAAGCTGAAATAATGGCCAAAGGAGGAGACGGCAGCGCTCAGGACATTTATTATCCCTCAAAGAAGACAAAGTCGGAAGTACGGACATATTTTAGATATTTGAAGAATGCCGAGGGACAGTTGATAGAAGACGGCTATCCTGTTTGCAGCACGTGCAGAAAAAGTGTCTGTGAAAGGCAGCAACGCTTCAAATCTCATGACACATCTGCGTGACCATCACCCACAACTCTGCAGTCAACGCAAGGCAAGCTAACGTTAGCGTTTTAGCTAAAATGCGTGATCCGAGGATTTGGGTTGAGGGAGAATGCAACGAGTCGCTATATAAAGCAGCCGCAGCGCCGCTACCTGCATATAAACCGTGTTGCGGACACCGCCATGTTGAAATGGCGCTATGCATTACGGGGCTCCCAGGGGCAGATAAGAGTTGGTCTCTCTCCGAGAATAATTATGAATTTAACAATGATTACTGCCTGATGACATTTTCCCACATCTGCAAAGCTCACTGGAAGGACACAAACCGAGGACGATATTTTCCTGATATAGGGTTTATTACTCAAGTAAGGGTAAAAAAGTATCTGATTAGAAAGCTACTTGAGTACTGAGTATCATCTGATCTAACATTTTTAAAATGATGACATTAAACAAACAAAAAATAAGAAGTTATGGACAAATATTGGTATTTTAAAGACTAAAGGGGAAAAATGTAAACAAATAAACAACATAATTACAAAATAACAAATTTTAAGACAAACTGAGGACAATATTTTCCTGATATACAGGGTTTATTTAATTGTCTGAAAATGTAACACGATTAAAATACCGCGATAATACCGAAAACCGTGATAATTTTGGTCACAATAACCGTGAGGTAAAATTTTCACATCGTGATAACCGTACATGTGTGTGTGTGTGTGCTATATATATCACACACACACACACACCATTGGACCAGCTGATGGGGACTCTCCCTGCCCAACGCTCTTTAACCAACAAAGCGATTTCTGTCACGCTGGCAGAATTGCTCCGACACAACAAAACGACACCTGCAGAACAAAGCTGATGCTACGAGATTTCTTAAGAATCTGCAGACGCAAACCAGTTCCACCTGTGTGCCTGTGGCATCTCTAGGACCGGAACGAGTCAATACCATCGGTCTTCCCTACCGGACCCAGTACCCTGAGGCTGTTCAACATCCTCCTCTGACGTCCTGATCCACGACGAGGGTCGCCTGACGGTGAGGTAGAACACAGATTGCGTCTGAATGCTCTTTAATAAGAACAACTTAGCTTATTGACAAAGCCAAATGCTTTTTCACCCAGAACGCGTCCTCTCTCCAAGATACACGTTCTGAGACATTGCTTCACCCGCAAACAAAACACACTTCACCTTAGATTCATCCAAACACAGGGTTGTTTTAATACCAAAGCTTTTATAAACTGTCTTTTAAATTGTGTAGTAATAAATTTCTTAACTTTTTTAATTCCTAGATATGTAGTTCATTAACCCTACATAAATCACAAATGTACTTTCTTAGTTCTCCGTTTTGCATAATAGTTTTTAAATCTGATCACTAAAATCATCACAAGAAACAGGTCAGCGTGAGTGAAAAGGTAATACTCACAGTCCCAGACAGAATGTCATGTGGACAAGAATCCAGGAGGTGACTTTTACAGACTCTGTCGTCTGTAAATTTGATCCTCTGCCGCATGGTGTCTCCTGGAGAGCAAAAATCATGACTTTTACAGTTTCGTTTTATTTGCATTAAAATGCCCTCCACCTTCTATTACAAAAGCGCCAAAAATAACCATGAAGTAATAGATTCATGGTTGAATTAACGTCATTAGTACCCCAGCTGCCTGCATGTTTCACTTCTTAGCAGAAAAACTTAGCGGGAGCGAAACCGACAGTATAAATACAAAACTGTAATAACTCCAAGATCTGTGCTAAACATCTGCTTCCTACAAATAGGAAAAATAAAGGTCACGTCCTTATAGCATCTTTGTCTGATCTCAGAATTGTGTGTACTGAAACTCTAATTTCCCTCTGGGATTAATAAAGTATTTTTGAATTGAACTGAATTGTAAACAGAAACAACAGGTTAGCTAGCAGCTAGCTGTCTTCATGCTAGCCAACCTCACGGATGCAGATTAGCTTGTGGCACGACCGAAGCTAGCCGTGACCCTGAATGAATCAGCGGTTAGACAAAACGAGTCGAGCTCACCGTCTCTCCCTGTCCCCATCAGCTGGTCCAACATCGCTCGCATCTGCGCCTGGGCCGACATGTTACTCTAGTCGTGTGGCTTCGTCCTCGCACTTGCAGACAGGCCTCTAGTTGGATCGTCAACAAAACGACTAACTTTTCCCTCCAGGAGGAAAAACTTCACTCATTCAAAACCAAAAACCAATTTGGTTCACTGGAAATCACGCAGACTAAGACTTTTACTAAGTGTAACTTAGTAAAAAGAACAGAATGGCTTCGGGGTGGCTGAGCCAGGGCAACGTCGACTCCACGAGCCGACGCGACTCGCGTGGCGAGTAGAGACAGCAGTGACTGGATTTAGTCAGGGTGTTTGATTAGCCTGCTAAATATGTACACAAGTACGAAACTCTTTCAACTGTTTACATAATATCTAAATGTGTTTCTAGCCAGTGTGCTAGAAGTTTTCAAGTTTGTCCTCTCTTCCGCCTTTCTAGTTCCTCTTTGTGCGCGCGCCACCGCAAAGCGCGCTCTGAAATTCCATTTCCTGTGTATCCCGGAAGTCCAGCAGTCTTGCACCAGTGTTTACACCTTCGCACCAGATATAAAAAATCTCATATTTAACGTTTCTTTGTTATTTAAAAGAAATGAAGGGTTATTTAAAAAAAAAAGAATAAGAAATCCTTAAAATGCTTCTAAATGAGTCATATTCCTGGCCAACAGCAAAGTAGTTCACGCAAGCCGGAAAAAATAACATAAAAATACTCACTGAAACATGGGTCTCAAAAGTGTTTGGAGACGGCACGGTTAAGGCAGAGAGGTGATAGGTATTTTACTGTGCCTGCTCCTGGCCTATGGAATCAGCTGCCTGTCAATATGCTTCTTCTCTGAAGGCTCACTTCTATTCGCTAGCGTTTAACACGACTTGATTGCTGGACATGCACTCTTGTTTACCACTTATTTACTCATTTTTGTTTTAGGTTGTAATGTCTTTTTGGTGTGCCCTGCGATGTACCCTGCTTGCTTGTCCAAATACAACTGGAGATAGGCACCAGTCCCCCACGACCCTGCGTAAATAAGCGGGTTATGAAACTGGATGGATGTATGAGTTTTTGTATGTTTTTCTGTGTATTATCTATGCTTATTTTAAGTTGTGATGTGTCATATTGTTGGTGTGTATTTAGTGTTTTGTCTATGCTTTTTAATTTAACTGTACAGCAGTTTGGTCGACACAGTTGTACTGCAAATAAAAGTGGATTGGATTGGAGTGTTTAAATAAAAAGTGTCAAAAACGTAAATTATTTATTTCATCGTAATTCTAGTCAAAAACAAAAATATTTCAGGAGAAACGCGGATTAGAAACATGTTCACAATATGAATGTATTAAAAATAGCCTCATCGCTCATAATTCTGATCATTTACTTACGCAATTTACAGTTGTGGCGACCACACACATATATACATTGACACCCATTGACTGGCCAATTGGAGCAGCCGTTATGGCTGGCCACCATTTAAGATGGGTCTCTATTTGCCCCCAGTGCATTTATTTTTATTGAAGAAGGTGTTTACCCAACTAAAAAACACATTTTAATATGCTTTTTCACAAAGTCAGACAAAAGGTATGGCATGATAGGTAAAACCACCAAATAGAAGCGCGGCCGTGTCTACAGCTCACCGCTCCTCACGGGGATAGGTCAAATGCAGAGGAAAAGTTTCACCACACAACACACCAGTGTGTGTGACATCTATGGGACTTTAATCTTTAAAAATATAAATATGATTACATAAAACACATTTTAAAAATATTAAAGTACATGTAGGCTACAAAAGTTCAAGAAAAGTCCCACGTGATCTGTTTTCAATAGTACGCTGGTTGTTGCAACCATAGGCTGTACAAACAAGGGCTACTCACTCTGCGTTGACTCCAGTTGGGTTTGGAGAGTGAGGAGACCCACCCACGTCCTCCAGCATTCAATGGAGAATCTATTCATGTCTGGTGGTGACAGGTCATGAAAATCTCTGTTTTCAGATGCTGTAACCACATATCACCACTAGGGGGTGCCCAATTACTCTTATGCGTCACACATCTTGAACCCAACAGACCGGTAGCAGCGCGAAAGTTGTTCTAAAAACATGCTTAATATTGTGAAAGACAGAATTCTGAGGGCGTGGTGATTGGACGCTGGCTGGTCCTTGTTACGGGTAATGAGGCCGGAGAGAACAAAAGGGTGGCAGATCTACCAAGGTGGGGTGCGTGGTCGACCTGTCATTGTGGCACCAGATCCTGGGGGGTTGGATCGTTCGCAGTGGTTTAGGACTGCCGGCGACGAAGATAGTTGAGCAGGTGGCAGTTCCAGCCATAGGAGGGAAGGCTTGACGCCTTCTTTAGGTAGCGAAGGCTGGGAGTAGTTGGGTGTTGGGGGGGGTGAAGGTGTGGTCAGTGGAAGTGGGATGCAGAGGTTTTGTAGCCAGTTCCATAATAAGACTTTTGAAGGAAGTAGGAATCAGAGGCCAGGCCCAAAGGAGGTCAATCAAAGAGCTTGCCACTGCAGCGGAACAGAGCAGTCACTGGCTGTGGCTGAAATGAAGGGATGCAATTTGGGCTGCCAAATGATGACGTGGTGCTTCCGAGTGACACACTCCCGGGTCTGATCAGCCAGGGGTGTGCCAACCCCGGCAGAGGGTGTATTGTGATAAGTGGCCGAAACACCCAATGAGGTCGGGGCACACAACAGAAGATGTGTCACGCCGGTTTCATCACGAAATCTATGGCAAAGCTCACTCCACCAAGTTTTCATTCAATTGTTGTGCTGAAAGGGATCTTTAACAACCAGTCCTAGGAAAATTCTTTGCAACTGTGGCCATGCAAACATTTCCAATGACCAGTGTAACCATATCACTCCGTCCTATCTGACCTTCACCGATCGGGGTGAACGATGATTGATGATTCCAAGAGAAACTGACTGGCCAGACTTGGGGGGGGGGGGGGGGGGGGGGCACCTTTGTGCACCAGGACATCAAGTACCCATCAAGTACCTGCACTTCAAGGAAAAGAGCACGCCCCGTATCCAGTGGCTACCCTGGCTGCTTCTCTGATTATTTGGCTTTCTGCAAATAATTGCAAATGATGGGATTGAAGAAAATTTGGAGCTGACCTTTGGTTAAGCCTTTGTTTTATACCAACCAGAAGGCCCACCTACCAAGTGGGCACGAGGTCAGTGCAAGTTAACTGATGGGGATTACAAGTGATGGCCAGTCGTGGCAGAAGGGGGGCCAAGCTGCGGGACAGTATAGAAGATGGCTTGCTCTTCTCAGTCAGCTCCAGGAGGAGAGCACAAGGCGGACCTCAGGAGATCTGCAGCAGGTATGTGCAGCTGCCTGACCTCCATTTAGAGGCTCAGCAGGACCTCTGCAACCAATGTTGTCATTGAAGTATGAAGTAAATCAACTTTGTTATGATATTCTAATATTATAACTGACACCTGCACACATGATTGCTATTTCCAGTCTTTTAGTCGTTAGAAACTGCAGAAGAACAAAAAGAAAACAATAATTCACTTCCATTAAAATCTTAAACTCTGACCCTGTCTGCATACTGTTTATTTCCAAATTTCCAGTCCAGACTTATTTCATGTGTTTCCATGGAATACAAGTGCATTTCCATGTGATTCCAAACTTCTGAGCAGTTGTCTTGGCAACAGGCCAAGCACAGTGCAATCCTGCAACACTCTTGTTATGGGGCGAGCACTTATAATAATAATAATAATAATAATAATACATTTTATTTCAAAGCGCCTTTCAGTACACCCAAGGTCACTTTACACAAAACACGTAATAAAATACAATAAAACAATAATAAAACCCAAAGAAGAAAAAACAGAGAGAGTACATCTTTGCACTTAACTGTTCTACTACTGTCTCTCACTATTCTAGCAATTCTACTGTTTGCTATCCTTTTTAAGATTCTGACACTTAGGTTTTGAAGTGCATAAGGAAAATGTTCCAGCTCTGAACTCCATACAAAGACCTGAAATGACCCTTGGATCCAGTCCATCTAAAAGCATCTTCTATATCTGGGACTGATGTACACATTCCCAAGTTTGGGGTCAGGACCATGTCATGTGACATGAGACATAAAGTTAGAGGTCCCATACTTCTAAAAAGTAAACAGAATAATAATTCCTTATTACCATCAAGATAAAACTATTGGTCATAAAAAGGGTTGATATTAGTAGGAGCTGTTTGTGTCATTGCTTTGCCCTTGTTATCTCGGCCTAAGTGCACGTTGATAGCTATGGAGTTTTACGTGAATGTAAACCTAAACTTTGTAAAGAGAATTTCAGAAAGAGTCAAGCTTGAGAGCTCAAACTTTTTTTTAACTCAAGATGTATTCTTAATTTACACATAGTTGTTTGAGCTTCCTTTATTTTGGATGAATGTGAGAAGGAAGGTTGTTATTAAAACTTATTAAATACATTTTAATATACCATTAATCATTTTTCACATCAGATTCAACATGAATTTATTCATGAATCACATTTAAAACCACACAACAATAAAACAAAGTAGTAGGGTAATATACTTACTTTTTTAACATGACTGAACAACTGTATATATTTATAAAACAAATTTCAGATACAGAGAAAATTAGGATGCGGTGGTTTTCTTCAGTCTTATTTTTTAACAAATTACAAATGTATTAATGAAATTTCCCAGACCACCAGCAATATGTTGACATGTGCAGACCACAGAACAAGTTTTATTTAATATCTGCCTTGAAATAATAGCACAGATATCTGTGACAGCTCCGACTTCATGGCTGAGTGGTTTCATCTTACTGATTTAGCCACGCCCACAAAGGGATCGCTGTCCCTGCGGCAGGAAGCGTCTCACTGCGACTGAGAAAAAATGGCGACTGGCGTACTCCGAGTACCGCTGCGGTTTTTCCACAGGAATAGCCGCATTATGAGTCGTAACGCCAACTCAAAAACACCTGATATTTGTAGACCGACTCAGATTAGGACCGCGGTATCCACGTCGTCTGGGGCAATGCTTCCCAAACCAGAGAAAGTGAGTGTTTTTTCTGCTTCGCATCGAGAGTTAATCGACAAGAAGCAGAGTAGGCGGGACGTAGCGCAATGACCAATAGAAATGCAGGAGACGGGATCGTTTCCTTCCGTCAGCCAATGAGCGCCGGTTAAAGCACACATACAGGAAGTAATGACCTGTAATTGCTTTATAAACCAAGGTTGTCGTGTAAAGTTTTGTGTGGGAAAAGGAGACAAATGATCTATGAAAATGTGTTAGTTAGGCGAAAAATGTTTTCATTTTAATGTCCGTCTGTGCATTGTTTTTATTTTACGTGTAGGTAATTTAATACGAAGAAAGAAAAGATTCGATATGATACTGTAATCTATTCAATCCAAAATACTTTCTTCATAATATCTTATTGGTTCCGTATAATTGTAACGAGAAAAAAGTCAAGCAAGCCAAAAGCCAAACCAGGATTAAAACTGTATTTTATGGTAACATAGTCATAAATATTTCAGTGGAGAATCTGAAAAGCCTTTTTTACATGTCAGTGCTAAAACTTTGCAACTTAGGGATTCGAGACAACTTTTTTAACATGATCCCAGTGATTTTAATGCTGTTTTACTAAGGTGTAGCAGGTGGGACCCATCATTTATTCTTTTGTTCTGCAGACACCTTTTGGTCTCATCAGGATGACGGTGGTGGTGGTGCCTTTTCTTTATGTGGGAACTCTGATCAGCAAGAACTTTGCTGCTCTGCTGGAGGAGCACGACATCTTTGTACCTGAAGATGACGACGATGATGATTGATGATGATGATATGCAACGTTAAAAGAGGTGAATGGAATGTTTCCTTGAGCCACACCTGACGAAACATGATGCCTGAGACCTTTTAGCTGTAATCTTATCCTGCATAGAGGGTGTGTCAGCAGCATGTTAACCCTTCAAGAGCCAAAGCACCCGCAGAGCGTTTCTGTTTGCTAATTTGTTGTAAAAATGTGTATTCACAGGGCACTTTGCAATATCAACTGAAAATACCAGCTGGGACGAGAACTTTGGGGAAGATAAGCACTTTGACTTCTACAGGACGTCTTTCAGATCCACTCATCTCTTATCTGCTCTCTGATATTTATCCCATTTTGAAAAACATCCGATCTTGTGAAGCAGAACTAGTAGCTCTGCTTTCGCTCTTGTTTGCATGTTTGTATTCGAGTCAACTTAAATAAACGGAGTTGTTTAAAAATTGAAAATATGTGTTTTTTTTATTTATTTGAATGCTTAATGGATTTACAATAGATTTTCTAAGGGGTTTGCTGAATGTTCTGCACTAGCTGACAGTCCTTGTTCCTCTAAATAAGTCTTCAGGTTTGTCTTGTTGCCTCCTGGAGTGCAGCATTGGTCAGTTTCAGATGTTCGTTGAGGGAGCTCATTTCCAACTGGCTACGACCCTTCATGTTGCTCAGTTCCACGTAGGCCTCCTTATAAAGCTTGTAGGCTAATTCTTTCTCCTGGATCAAAGACAAAGAAACTAAATACATATATATATATATATAAACTCAACATTTTCTTTATATTAGCAACACAGGAGTTCATTCGTAGGACCTACCTTGGTAAGAGACTGCACTTCATTTTGTAAGCAGCTGACTTCTTTTTTGAGGTACTGCACTTCATTTTCTTTAGCCTTTAGCGTCACCTGAAATATTCACAATGTTAATCTGCTGTGGGCATTGTTAAAAAATGGAAATTAGTTTTGTAGCAGTTCACAGGCAGACAAATTAAGTTTCTTTTGGCTCTTACAAAAAAGAAGGCTAATCTGCGTGTCTGTAGCAGTTTTACAGATTTTTTTTCAGATGTGCAGTGACAATGCAAGTGTCCAACCATCTTCAGCTGACCACCAAATTTATTTGAAATTTATATATTATTGAGTATTTCTGCTCAAATAGTGCCAGTGCTTGAGAAAAGTCCACATAAAGAAATTCAAGTCAAGAAAATTCCTGACTGGAAAAAAGCTAAAAGTTCCTAACTAGTTTCTAAAGTCAAATACGGGATAATTTCCTATGACTGTTTTATCCTAATGATGGAACAAGTTCACTTGTAAAGATTACTTTGACTATGAACAGAGACTTTATATTTAATGTACTATTTTATTAAAATCTGACAGTTGAATTACAGAATTGGATTAGATTCTCAATCCTGATGCACTGCTAATCTAGATTAGATCAAGATTTGAATATTTCATTCAAGTCCACAGAATCAATAAAGCTGAAATTATACTGTAACAATCTCTAAGTCAGATATTAGATTGTAGAGTAAACTTCCTTCGCAGATCATAAACATATCCACATAGACTCTCTGTGTTAACGAGGTTCTGGGGACATAACATCACTAATGTGTGGGCTGCCTGTGTTTTTTCATAATTTAGAGCACGTGTCAGACACAAGGGAGCATTTTTATGTGGCCCGTGAGATAAATATCAAAAATATATTAAAACTGACCCTCTGGCCGATTTTACCGCAAAGCCTACAACTCCCGTGATGCTTTGCGGCGTTAGCGCGGAGCCAAAGCGCCCCCTCCTTTGTGTTTTTTCCAGCTTCTGCTGCCGGTGTCTGCTAGCCTGTCAAGCCAGACTAAATAAATGTATTATTTAAACTTTGCAAAGCAAGAATTTGGTCTAGTTCACTAGGCTAGGAGTCTGCAGCTCCGCTGTCTCGGACAAACCAAACACTCCTCTCAGCGCCGAGTTTACTCAGCTATTTTCTGACGTTGAAGCCCAGAAACGGAGATTCTAGCCGCTCAGTAATGTGTTCACGACTGAAAGAGAAAGTTTTCCAACTAACTTCCAGACAGAGCCGATATAACTCCAGCGAGCAGCGACACGCTCAAACCAGCACGACTCTGAGGCTGCTGTCGTTGTTATTTTTCCTCTCCGACACACAACAACGTGGTCAAGCTGCTCAGACATGTTCATCAGCACAAACCTATGTGAGCACCTGTTGTCATCTAATGTTGTCATTATTATGATGAAGATGAACAAAACAACAGGAGTCTCCTCCTCAGCTCAGATCAACCCCATGATGCAGGTATCTGGCTGGAACAGGTGAGCATCACAGTAAACCAGTGGAGCAAACTGAGCTTTAAATATGTTGGTTTTATGCTCTTTTTCTGCTCCAAAACATGAAAGTTAACAGGTGAGATGTTGCATTTTCATTTAAGATAAAATGATATTTTTATTTTGTTGTTGGCCCGTGAGAAAAGAATTAACCTACAGTAAACCGGAAGTGGAAAGGCTGCAGATAGATGAATAGAATAGAAAATCCCTTTATTGATCCTCAGTGGGGAAAGCTAGACGTCACAGCAGCGATGACACGTATTACAGGAGAAAAAAAGGAGAATAAAAAAATAAGAAAAATTAATAAACAAGAAAACATAAATCCTGAATAGATTTTAAAATGCTGATTATACCACAAGTAATGAATACCACTGATGCCTTTTATTTAAAACTGACTTGCTCGTGTGTAATTTGGTTATTCCACATTCAGTGTTAATGCAAAAATAAGTTTGTTTCCAAATTAAAAGGTTCAAAATTGCATACATGTTGATAAAGAAAATGTGCAAATTTGCCGTCGCTTTTTTAGAAAAAAATCAAGTTTGGCCCGCAACTCGTCCCAGATTTTCATTTCGGCCCTGTGTGAATTTGAGTTTGACACCCCTGATTTAGAGTATTCCAGATTAAACTGCTGCTCTAGAGATGTGCAACCACTAGGTGGCAGCATGCGCTGCAGCGTGGTGCTTGTGGCTGCACACTCAACAAAAGGAGGTCATGAGATATAAAAAGGTAAGGCATGACACTTCTTCTGATGGGCGCTATTTCTGAGCTGCATGGTGGCGCAGTGGTTAGCACTGTTGCCTCGCAGCACGAAGGTTGCAGGTTCCAAACTCGGCTGTGGCCTTTCTGCGTGGAGTTGCGTGTTCTCCCCATGCATGCGTGGGGTTCCTCCGGGTACTCCGGTTTCCCCCACAGATCACAACATGCCCTACAGGTTAAAAATTGTAAGTGGCTTTGGATAAAAGCGTCTGCTAAATAAATAAACATAAACATAAACTGAGCTTAAAGACAAACACAGCACAACTGCTTTGGCCTATTTGTTTGGACCTAAGTGTTTCAGGGTCCCACCGTGAGGCATTGTTACTCTGAGTGATGACTGGAGTGTCACTGTTGAGTAAATAATGCTAGGCTGGGATCTTTATGACTACTTTGACAAACTAAACTCTTCTGTACCTCTAAACCTGATGCAGAGTCCTCAGCTTTGCAAACAGGTCCCACATCTGACCTCTGACCTGTGAGGAAATAACGCATTCGACTGATCTCTTCTGCCAGCTTGTTCTTCAGCTCCTGGAAGAAAAGGTTAGGAAGAACTATTAGAAATGTAAACAGTATAACTCTACAGTATGATGGAGGTGGAGGAGGGGGGCAGACATGGTGGTGGTCTGGGACTGCTGTGCTGCTTTAGCAACTGGAATTCTGATAGAACATCCTGATGAAGAATATCTGAACTTTGACCTTTGTTAGTGTAGTATATACTACAGTTAGTTGCTATTAAAACCCTCCAAATGTGGCCGAATTCTAATAATATTGTAAAGAAGGATGGGACAACATTCCTCCACAGAGATGGGAGAGACTGGATCCAGTCACTGCTGCCTCTGGCGCTCCTGTTTCAGGAACTAGAAGTGAGACAGAGAAGAGGGGAGCAGAAAACACCGGAATTTGGAGTCTTATTTCCTGATATTTAGACATCTCTCCTCTGATTGGACGACAACAACGCGACTCTTTCACTGCCTCCATTTGCTCAGCATTGTGGAGAGCATATCTCCACAAATAACACAAGCCTGGAGGAGTTCTGCCATGTGAAAGAAAGAAAAGAAAGAAAATTATATTTTATATTTTGCCTCTCAAGGTAAAAAAATGATAAAAACAAAAACAATGAAAATGTAAAAATGTATTTTAAAAATATTATTAAAATATGTTTAAACTCAAAATATAACAAATTGTGATGAAAAAATGTAAGGAAAGGGAGAGAGAAAATGAATATAAGAAATAGGGAATCAGTAGATCCCAGGGAAGGAGGAATAAGAGCAGAATACGGAAAGGGTGATGATGAAGGTCACACCAAAGCCTGAACAGGTGAGTCTTCTGCTGCTTTTTAAAGGAGACCACTGAGTCCACTGATCTCAGGCTCAGGGGGAGTCTGGGGGCCACAGCAGCAGATGATCTGTCACCTTTGACCTTTAGCCTGGTGCTGCACACCCAGTAGGCTTTGATCACTGGACCTCAGGGACCTGCTGGGGGTGTAGGGACTAAGAAGATCACCAATGTAAGATGGTGCTTGTCCATGTAAGGCCCTATAGACCAGAACCAGGATCTTGAAATTAACCCTGAAGCTGACTGGCAGCCAGTGAAGCTGGAGGAGAAGCGGGGTGATGTGGGTGTGTTTGGAGGACTTGGTCAGAAGCCGAGCACAGGTGTTCTGAACCACCTGTAGACGGTTAAGGGAGGTTCTGCTCAGACACGTGAAAAGAGAGTTACAGTAGTCTAAGCGTGAGGAGATGAAGGTGTGGAGAACTGTCTCAAGTTCAGTTGTGCTGGGAGTGAGAATGTGTTGGATAAAAACATCCATTGACAACTACCTCACAGAAAAGCACCAGGATCCTGTCACTGATGCTCTGTTAGACATGGCATCTCTTGTCGATTCCAGATTTAAATCCCAGAACATTAACACCACAGAGAAAGAGCAGAGGCTGAGCAGAGCTGTGGCTGATCGGGAGTCTCTGCTGACCCCTGAATCAGAGCACCCAGTGCCCGCTACCTCCTCCACACCACAAAGCCAAAGCCCTGAAACACAGCCAGCAAAGAAAACAAGGAAGTCGTTGACCTGCTTTTTTCAAAACTGCAGCAGTTCCCTCAACATCCGCTGAAGAATCCACACAGAGAGAGCTGATTGAAAAGGAGCTGCAGGCCTACTTGTCCACACCCAATGTGGATAGTGAAATGAATCCACTTGAATGGTGGAAGGCCCACGAGGTCTTTTTTCCAAAAGTGAGTCAGCTTGCTCAGAAGTATCTTCGCATCCCTGCAACAAGTTCTCCCTCTGAGCGAGAGTTTAGCACTGGTGGCAATATTGTCACATGACAAACTCATCTTCCTGGCAAAAAACCTGACATGTCTTGTTTTAGTTTTGCTTGGATTGATGGAAGAATAATTTTCTTCACGACATTACTCCAGTGTTAGAACTGCTTACACAACGCTAACTCTGTTACATTTTATTAAGAAACTTTATGTGTGCCTGTTTATTTCATCAGTGTTTTGAACAAGTTAATGTTTGCACAATACGTTTGCAATTCACATGTTTGCATTTTAAATATGTTTATGAATTTAATTTATTTTTAAGTTATTTGAAAATCGAGAAAAACTGATTTTTGTAATTGTTTCTCTCAGGACTTTTATCATCACTGGTGTGAGTTTACAATATGAGTGTGTTAGCACTGTGTTGATTATCCCTAATTTGAATAAATGCTTATTTATTCAATGTTTCTCTTCTTTAATATGCAATTAAAGTTATGTATTCATGGATAAAAAAATTGTGATAAAATCAAAATCGTGATAAAATATTTGAAAAATCGTAATATTCAATTTTTGCCATATCGCCCAGCCCTATTTGGGAACCAGCTTGTCTGGGGCCCAGATGAGGATCTCAGTCTTATCTTCATTCAGCTGTAGAAAGCTTCCAACCATCCAGGTTTTAATAGAGTCTAAGCAGGTGTGTAACATCTGCAGCTTAGACATCTCATGGGGCTCAAAGGAGATATACAGTTGGATGTCATCTGCATAAAGATGGTAGGAGAGTCCTATAACCCTCTGGAGGCAGGCATTGCAGATTTGCATTGTTAAAACTTAGCTACCTGGTTACTCCACGTACATATTTCATGAGCATTTTTTAACTGAGAAGTACAGTAATCCCTCGCTACTTCGCGGTTCGTTCATTGCGGATTCGCTGCTTCGCGGATTTTTTCTTTGGAGCATTTTTCAGGGGGAATTCGCAGATTCGCGGTATTTTTCACTGATTCGCGGCATTTTTCTATGCGAAATATCAAGAAATTCTTGTTTTTTTTTCATCAATTTCATCATAAAATGCACTTTTTGTAATAAAACAAAAAAAAACCAAGTAAAAAAAAATTTTCTTGAGTTTTACCCACAAAAGAGAATGTGATCATACGATAATTCAATATAGTACTGTATGTTAGACAGGCCGGCTGGATTCGGGAGCTGAGCTTGTAGGGAGCGTGGTTTC